TACGCCGAACTCAGCAATATTCCAGCTATATGGCGGCTATCTGTAAATAATTGAGTCTGGACCAGACAATCAAGTGATCAACAGCATGAGCATCCATCTGCGCAACTGCGAACCGATGACATGTGTCAACCAAGCCAGCGAGCCTGACCACCCGATCCCGTTAGTCACCTCTAACGACAAGCATGGATTGCTGAAGGCTCATTCTAACCCGAACCTTCACGGGTAAATGTATGAAGTGAGTGAGTGAGTTACTGAAGGCTCATTCTAACCCGGACCTTCACGGATCAATGTAATTGCTTACTGCACAACTTTAGCAATACCAAGTCATGTTGGATTTACACAGAGCATCTCGCAACAAAGCAAAGCATTTGTCCAAACGGCTTTGAATTTCACTGACTATGAGATTGACCGGGATCACCTAGGGGAGGTTGATCAGTATTTACGAGACCATATTGAGCACATTTGCAAAAATGCAAAGACGACGAAGCAAAATTTAACTTCTTCATTCTGAACTGTTACAATGATAATGTAGAGGTTATTGATCATCAGAGTGAAGATAAGACGCCAAAGCATTATGCAATGATGCATTTCAGTCTGAACAGTAAAACTTATCGGAAGTAGCAAAAATGGTTACTTTTCACATATTTTGTAACTATTGGGAGAAAAAGTGGTACATAAGTACTCCCCTAAATGATGTTACAAGTTAACATATTTTCTAACAAATTGACACAAGATAAACTGACTAATTTCAAGCAGGTTTTCTTTATCTGCATTTAGAGATGATGTCAGTAGCATTGATAACACGCTTGTATCAGAACGATATCAGTTCCCTAACGTCATAAGTGATATCCCATATTCTAAGATGCCTAGCGGTTAGAACAATCGAAAAAAAATTACATTATCAGGCAATAAAGGTATAGTTTTTTGATGACGTAACAATTGAATGACGTTATCCCGTCACTGCGCCATTCTAGTGTGCCCCCTCGTAATCGAACCGTTTTACATTAGGTCACAATGTAAGCGACGTCACGATGCATGTCAGTTGTCATCGCCTCGTACGGCCTCCTACAGTAAACTACTCCGTTGCATCCCGTTTCTTGGTTTGCAGTTGCTACACGCAGCTAACATCACTGGTGGAAACATTACGTTTATGTTTTACGACGGTTAAAATGTGTCAATTCGACTCACAAGTTTTCAGCGACACGGTAACGAGCGCAATGTTTACATTCCCACAATGCAATCGTGGAACGTCGCTTGACTACTCAGCTTCATCTGGATGTACTGATCTAAACTTACGAGGTAGTAGAAATGCGACGTTCATATTGCCCCATATGGTTTACGTTAATGACAGATGTAATTAAAATAATTCAAAGAAGATATTTAATCCGAACGTAAACCGTCATCAAACTGTTATCATTTGTTTTTTCTGGTAACGTTCGTCTTAACGTAGGGGGGTGGGGGGGCAGAGACATCAATAGAACAGCGCGCCAGTTAGCCCTGTGCGAGGATTCTTAATTTAGGTCACCGACACCGTCGTTTGTTTCTGCCTCAAATTAATCGTAATTATCCTTAGAAAGTATTAAATTTGGCATCTTAGAAAAGAAATACAGTTGGTTCTACCACCATGTGTAGTGTAATAAAGCACACTTTCGCCCTGAACTATTAACACGTTAAAGCACTTGGACGCAAGCATCCTCGTACTTTAACTATGTATAATAGTTCAGGGCGAAAGTGTGTTTTATTACACTATACAAGGTGGTAGAGCGAACTGTATTTCTTAATTATTACACATACGGGTGAGGAGATCCCGTGTAATATCCTTTTGATATTTGCACAGTGTGCAATTTAGTGATTCTCGACGTTGATTGGTCGATCGTATGGTGTAATCGCCCTGATTCGAGATTTTGAAATAGAACAAAAAAAAACATACAGGATTTCGATTTTGACGCATATTTAATGCTTCATTTCATACTTCATTAACAATATGGCGTCGTTTACTTAACAACATGTTTTATAGTAAAAAAAAGTCCAATCGTATTTTGTAAACAAGCCTGGCTAGCCAATTAACTGCAATCAACGTCAATGACATGGTCAAGGTGTACGGATTCATTACTGGACGTGTAACGAGAATAATACAACCACTAACAACTAAATTCCTTTCGCTTTTATGTGATAAACACTGCACATGGTGAAATGAAAGTCGCAAGGTATATAATACACTGAAGGTGAATACATGACACGTTTTAGACTGAAAGTGTTGCCGGAAACGATATCGAGCGTCCACACTTACCGGTGAGTGTCATAAATGACTTACTGCAAGATGATTGTTGCGATTCCATTAAGCTTGAGCAGTTTGGTTTCATCCGCGCATTAATACAGATCAGCTGACTTAGTTGTAAACACTTTAAGAAGATGCGGATTTGAGTTCATAAATACTGGTTTCTCGGTTTAATTACAGAATGGGTAATAAATAGAATAACACACGAGGTACAAGTGATTACGGGAAATATGTCCCGAGTGAAATTAATGTTTACTGTCCCGAACTTTACTCAACGCACCAAGCAATACCCATTTATACGATATATTGCACTTATCTGGAATTGCACAAATCCATCACTCTGAAATGACACTATCGTTACACTGGTATTCTCTACAGAAGCAAGATTGCAAGAAAGAATGTCAAAACCATAAATAATCACATACGTTCGTGTCATGGTGTGATTGATAGACAGACAAAGTGGTATTATTGTTGGTACACGTCAAGTAACTCTATCGACAACTGAATGAAGCATTGCACATACGAAATACGTTTTTGTTTTGGGGGGGGTTTCTTGGGGGGAGGGAGTGGTAAATGGAAAAAGACATAAAGTTAATGATGAACCAATAGTGGAAATAAATTACTTTTCCAATTTCAATTATTTTATTTTGACAATTTAAAAAAATGCCTTATCTATAATCATTACCAAAGACATAATTAGGAGTATCAACAAAAACTGAAAGAGGACACTTTTTGCTATCCTGCCTGGTGTTCGGCATTATGGACAGCAGGGAATCGGAACAAAAAAAGACATACGTTTTTCTCACTGATGAGTCAAGTTGGACATGTCGTTCATATATTTAATATAAACGTAATTCATTCGTTGGAACTTGAAACTCTCTAGAAACAAATTTTGACCAAGTGTCGTGATAAGATCTGTGAAATGCTTGATTTTACATCAAAAGTTGTGAAATATGAAATCAAAGTCTGAGGAGTGCTGTAGTATTCCCCGATAGCGTATTGGGGTTTTTTTCAGTATGATTTTTGCATTTCAGTTTTTAAGGATGTGTTCCTGGGAATGCACTGCGTCTGTATTCGTTTTGAACATCGTACATGCACGTGGCTAGATACCAGTCTTGAACGCGGCGTTAGTCCAAATTTCACCACACTTCTATATCATTGAGCTGACTTGTAAATGAACACATTGCTTATCCACTATTTCCTGCTAATTTGACCAAATTCCAAGATAAAATATTGATTGAAGAGGCGTCTTCAAATCGAGTTATTGTAATTGTATCAAGTGCACATGTTAATTGCAATTAAACGTCTGGTATCTTACCCAGGCCTCTAATGCTGAATTTGTTATCTAATCCATCACATTCATATTGTCATCTCATATTTCGTTGTAGCGTGAAGACTGGAGGTCGTTTTCAACTTTTTATCATCTTGCAAAAACGTCGCCTCATTTCAAAACAACTAATTATAGGAGAGCTCTTGTGAATATGTTTACATACTTAGTTTACTGGCACACATATGTTCAAATATATTTACCTTTAATTGGTTTGAATCATTTTAGAATGAACATGCTAGATATGTCGTTGTCACGAGTACCACGATATTCCTGAATATATATGTTCAAATGAATCATACGACACCTCAACACTACGTCAGTCTGTCCGTAATACCACAACGGTTTAAGGCAGTATGGTATGTCGACACAATCATGATGAAGTTTTACAGCAATATGACGCCAATAAACATCAAAGGAATACATTACATACGCCTTTTGTTTTATTTAAACGTGTAACAAAGCTACAATGTCAAGTGTTGTATTATGACAACTCATTATGTTATACTCGACTGCATAAATCACCTCGGATCCAGTAGTGTTGGGAGCCAATGGGGGTTAGCCTGGGGCTTCTTAGCAGCAATGCTGTTTCAGTCAGTACAATGGAAGCCCTTTCCACTACAAACAAAAACAGGTGAAACGACTTAGGTTCCACAAGAATGGTGGATTTCTGTATATTTCTGTACTGAATCGTGTTAGAAAACTGTTCAACTATTGCAATATAATCATAATGATACGTCCACATGTCCATGGGGGCAGAACGCTGGTCCGTTGCACATTTAAAGTGAAGAGGGGAAGAGCGCACCTTGGAATATTATCATATAGGTGTTTTGTAAAGTTTAATGCTACTGGCAATCTGTGGCTTTCGTCCATACTGCTTACGTGGCTCATGAACATGTAATATTTTCATACCTTTCTAACAAACCCATTATTGTCAAACAAAATATCATGATTAATGTATAAGTTCACGACATTTATAATTTCACCTTCAGATGTTAATAAGGTACATTTATACCAAACCCTCTGGAAAATATCACAATCTTCATATTGAGAGAAAGCGAGATAGGAGAAAGGGTTTAGATCAGATAAAAATTACCCCATACACACAAAAGCTGGCTGAATGGGTGTTGACCTGTAACTAGTACGATTAATTATTGCTACATTCTAATCAGTGAAATTAACACGGAGTGATTGCTGTATAAACACAGAGCCTGAAGCAAGTTACCGCTTGTAAAAACAACATGGCGAAGCCGATACTTCTCCAGGTCACGTGGTCCCATCGGCCAGGGTAACGAAGGATTTATAAGAAGGCGAATGACGAATTAAAAGTCGCTGAACCAGCGGACAAACTGGTAATTCTCTAAACTTCCAGTTGTAATCTGAATTTAGCCAAAAATGAACAGGAATAGTTCCCGACTTCATTTGGTGGATAATGATTTCCTGGACAGTGAAAGTGGAGGTGAGTTATTATGACTCTGATGTGATAAACAGCTTGTACATGGTATTATTGTAATAGTGAATATCTTATTCAGTTTTATGGCGTCGTAATAATGGTATGCATTGTACGGCTATTCAGTGTTGCATGGAAAGAAGGATGACTGACATATATTTAGGAAATGCCTATGTCATGCTTACGTATTGCCCAGCGATATGGGTGAATAACTACGCCAGGGACATTACAAGTCACAGGCCATCACTGATACATGGGCATTGTTGGAGGAGGTTAACTACCTTGTTTACCGAGCAGCAACAAACCATCACTGTGTACTTAACTTAACAGGTAGTTTTACACGGACTACTTGTTGTATAAGAACAATGTTTGCTCCGTAAAATATACGTACCCTGCCTATTGACAAGGGTCAAATAGTTCATAAACCACTTGACATATTTCTTCATTTTACTAGAATATAGTGTTTTTTTCTACGATATTCGGACATCTGACTTCGTTTGTCAGTCGATGTGAAGAGAACGTGGCTTATGCGCCTTGTTTACAGTGGTGCACTGTAGTTTTTAATCGGTATCCTTCCAAAACGCAGCATAATATGTAAAGGTTGTAAAAAAATATTCATCTAGGCGATCAGATAAGAATAATATTTTACCAGAAATATGGCATACATTTAACATTTGACACCAGCCACTGGTTTGTACAAGTTGAGGGATTTTCAATAACATACGAGAGTCAAGTATTGTCTAAAATATTTTTAACGCACGAGAGCCAGGGATTATCTTTTTTAGTTATTGTTGTTTGAAGTGATAAATAATTGTAAATTAAGTTGGTAAGCTTAAAAGCACCTTCTTGGTAAGTTAACTTATCAATGATAATCAATGTAGCATATGTTATGTTTTGGATTTCACTTTCTCAGCAAAGTACCGATGTGAAATATAATCAGTACCTTACAGAGCAAGTGTAATCCCAAATGTAACATACGTTACATTTGACCACTTTCTAAATGGCATAGTGTATTCATAGCTTTCGGCCATGGAAGCCGTGTCAATGTACAATTATCAGTGGGGTACTTAAAGTCCCCAGTCTAGACTACCAGTTGTCCGACTTCCATTTTTGTGCAAGCAGCCCTGTCTGAGCTGGTTAGACGTCAGACTTTGTGTGCTAGCGATTAGGTGCCAGACTCTGAGGGTATGGTTTCCAATCACACCCAACAAACGTGATAGAATCTGTGCTTTATTGAGAAAGTGTAATCCCAAATATAACATATGTTACATCTGACCACTTCTAAATGACATTGTGTATACTTAATTAATGTTTTGTCTTTGCACTCAGGTGAAGCATCGTCTGGTTATGAATCAAGTGACTCTTCCAATATATCACGTGATTCAAGCCCAGCCCCTCTTCCACTGCCACGCACCTCATCTCATGGCCAAGTGATGATCTTCAAAAGCACCGCCGGTCTTCAGGACAGCCTCGCTTTTATTCTCAGCATGCCCGAGCTGTGTGACGTCACTTTTCTTGTTGGCAAAGATCGAGTTCCGGTTCATGGGGTCAAGGCCATACTAGCAACTCGAAGCAGGTAAGAATTGAAAGGTATTATGCAATGCAAAAAAAAACTTTTCAATTTATTTCAAGGTACAATTTACTGGCAACATGTAATTATATTATTTTTCTTCGGTTTTGAAGCAGTCTCTAGTCTTCCTCTAACACCTTTGCGTCATCTTTACTCAATTTTGGGCGTTGCGAGCCAAAAATATGAAACCTTTAAATCTGATATTCTACTTACAACTATTCCAGGTCTTTATATCAACTAATCTTGCATCATCAAAAACAGTCTGAGCTGTCGAAAACAACCAAAAATATATTCAAGAAACAGAAACCCTCTCCCTGCTCAAACACGCTCGTCATCCACGTCCCTGACTACGAGGTCGAAACATTCAGAAGGTTCATCACATTTGTCCACTCGGGCAAGGTCAAGGTCGACGTCAACCATGTTGTCGGTAGGTTCTTCGTTAGAAAATATTTAGAATGGGAATGGGAAACTAAACGTTAAGGCTGAAAGGAGACCTCAGACATTTGTAAGTTAATATAAACTACACTTTGCATTTCAGGCCTTCTTTGTGTATCAGAGGAGTTTCGAGTTCCGGATCTTCGCACTGCTTGCAAGGACTTCATAGACAGATGCCAAGGTCATGGACAGAGAAAAAAGCTTGAAGGAACAGCCAGACAGTATCTACACAAAATACCTGCTCAAAAGCTCCTGGCTGAGGTACGCATGAATATAATATTTGTAACTGTTAAAATACAATTGTTTAGTGCTTAATTATATGTTCAACAAATGCCATTCCGAGTTATATTTCAATTCTCTGTCCTCCTAATTTACAGTTACCATGAAAACCAAGCAGTGACCTACGTGCACAATTGTGAATGCCAAACAGCCACAGAAGGTTCGTGACGACACAGCAAGTCCCGGGAGAGTGACAATGACCCAAGTAAACGGGACTAAAGCCCCACAGCACAGATGATTGCTGTAAATGCACCAAAACGGACAGCTGGAACCTTTTCGTTATCGCACAGGTCTGGAGGATGACATGACATGACCAAAGGAGTTTTCAACCTCTAACACAAATGACCTGTTACCAAGCCACGTGACTGGGAAATCTTGGGAGGACTTGACGCTGTGGTGTCCTCATCACAGCACAGTGATGGAAACTACTCCAAGTTCAGGAGCTAATATAAGTTGTCTGGATCCTCTCAATGATGCACATTCCCTTGTGGGCCAAAAGCTTGCGTCATTTCTGAATCACTATCGACGTTATACGATCCAAAGCTCGGCAGCTGAACGACTGTCAGTTCCTTATCAAGACTATAGGCACAAATGATATAAAGAAATGGTCGCCTGAAAACCAGAGTGTACTAAGTCACAAAAACCTATATTCGAGAAAATCGATCTTGAAGTTTAGGACAACAACATCTTTTAAACTATTCAACCAAATTCTTTGGAATTTTGACCCGTGAAAGGCCGGGTAAGAATTGATCTTCAGTTCCCCATTCTTGTCGTAAGTGGACATAGATTATAATGTCGTTGTCAAGCAAGTGGTTTCGCCTTTACAGAATAAAGAAGTTGTCTATCCATAAAAATTGTCCTCATTCTTGCATATATGTTATCACGACATGACAATTCTGTCAACAATACCAGCCAATGTACCCAGTTTAGTGTTCGGTTATCAATCCGGTGTCCTTAACATGCCTACAAAATGTACTTTACTGCAATATGGCCTATCGTTACATGAGGAACCTTTGCAGCACAAACATGCCGTGAGACACTGATGATGTACAAGGTAGGTTATATTTAAACCTGTAACAATCTACAGTGTAAAGTGGTGTATTATGACAAGTCGTTATGTTCTCATTGATCGCACACATCGTCTCTGCATTGTTAGTACCCAAGGTGTTAGCCTTGGGCTTTTCAGTGTTCAGCTGTTGATTCTGTTAAGGAGCCAGTTCCACTGCAGTTAAAAATATGATTAAACGATTTTTCAAGCATTAACGAAGACAAAATGATCTATCTATAAGTACGGTCTTCTTTTCTAATTCCATGAAACTCAAATAACATTTGTATAATCCGCCCTTTACAAAGTCATAAACAGAACAGAAAACCTTGCAACTATTTGCATCGATATGATGTGTCTGCTCAGTGGGGCATGATGGTGAATCGTTGTGTGTTGCTACCGAAAAGGGCAAATGTAATCATGGAAAAGGCCACCTATGTTTCTATACAACTGAATCAAAGGATACATGTTGTATAAGGCAGTACTAAATGTGCAGCCATGCATCTGACGGACATATATTTTGAGTAATCAGATGGCACAGTCTAGAAGGGAGTTAATCTGAAATGAAACATATTGTTTTGTCTCTCACTGTCAACAAAACAACCCAAGCCATTTCCATTTATGGAAAGGTAATTAAAATAATGTATTTATGTATTACACAAAGCGATTTAAATGCGTTGATGACCATACTGGTCAAACTATACACCAGTAGAACAAAACACATTTTGTGATAGCATCCCCGCCATTTGAAAAAAAAAATAATGCCATCAGCGAAACGACTTATGACAGTCTGATACGTGAGACAATGTGTAGTAAACCGATGTAGACGGGTAACAAATGTTCAGTGGTTTTAGGAATGGGATTGATGATACCCTGGCTCCACGCTCCCGGAATAACACCTTGGTTGTAACACTTGTTGAACAGTTTCAAAAGAAATTCCTGTGATTACGAGTTCCGTAAAACCTCAATAGCTATGTCATCTTTCACAGTTGATTTTACTTTCTTCATACGGCTAAAAGCTTTACTCAGTTCATCACTTGTAAATGCTTCACTAAAGTACTGTTCTTCACGTGCATTGTCACTGTCTCATGTACTTCATGGACAGCATCCAGTAGGTCCTCATACCCAGATTTTCATTTATCAAGCACTACGCCAACGTTACGTGACACAGCTCCATCACACGTGTGTTTCTGATAGCTTATGTAGTATGTTTATAGACACCCGCAAAGGCCTAAAGTATAACAGATGTCTGAAAAGGAGTTAAAGGTCACATGCAACGTAAAACACAACTTTGCAGATTCTGATACCTTTCGGTATGGACTTACCGAAAAAAAAAGCGTCAGAAATGCAAATTCAACTTATAAAGTTGAAAAATAACGCGATGAAAAAAGACGCGTGAAATCGGAGTTCAAACGTTTCACTAATTTTCCCCAGACTTTTCTGGGGAATACGGGTTTCAACAGCTGGGCTGCGCTCATAGCACGTGCGCAGTGAAATAGGTTCGCGCAACTTGGAAGCGGGCTGTCTGGTGAATACTCGGTGAAGGCTTTGGTGTGAGCTAGTTTCATAATTTTTTGTTGATATCTCACAGGCGCGAGCTTTTTTGTATGTTATGACAGTAAATAAACTGTTTATATAATTTCATTTGTCTATTTCACCACACGTTCTTCTTACCGAGTCACTTTCTCAGTTCGATACTTAAAAGCAATGTCATTATTTAGAGTTGACACGATTTCTAACTGTGATATAGATATGTCGCTGTCACAGACAAAACTCAATGTCTTGTTTTATTGACACCAGTGTGTCTGCCTGCCTGTCTGCTAATGACAATATTCAATACACAACTGCGATCACTGACCACATGCAATTTGAACTTAACACCAATCAGGCTATACACCATAAACAAAACGCATTGATTTATGGCCCGAGTTCGGTCTCTGTCACATTATGTAATTACACAGACAGGCAGGTGTGATACTTGAACACATGACATGTTATGATGTCTGTTGATTGCAAAATGTTTTACACACAAAATGAGCATGTATTTACAAAACCCAACTTTCTATATATACACACACAATGACCCGTGAAGGCGGCATCTGCTAATGAACCAGCCGTTACACTTGAGTGCACACCCACCCGCTCTGACTGGGTTCGGTATCCCGTCTGCTTCGTTTCGAGGGAGGTAAACCATAGTACAAAATATTGCACTTTTGATTTGCGATTATACGCTTATAATTTTGTTTATTTGTTTTTTCATAATCAGCAATGCATATTATATGTCATGAAGAAGTGATAATTGTGTTTTAATTATGTTTGATTTTTTGGTTGCATGTGACCTTTAACTAATAATTAGTACATTTAATTACAGATGCACAATAGGCATGAAAACACCGAGCGGGTGGTATATGATCAGATCCCCTGAAGCAAGTTACCGCCACTAAACACCGCACATATATTCTAACTTGTCTCAGTACACGGCTCCTGATGTACAAGCAAGTAGTTTTTTCATACCTTTTCATACCTTTCATACAAAATACTAAAATAAATGTATTCCTTCACGACCTCAATAAGTTCACCATCAAGATACGCCCTCCAGAAAATATCACAAGCTTAGTTTTTGATATATTAAGAGAAAGGGTTAAAGCAGAAAGAGTTCAGATAAGCTATCAGTTACCCCATAGATATACAGCAGCTGAATGAATAGCTGTTGACCAGTAATTAGCACGATTAATTAATTATTACTACATTCTAATCAGTGAAATTAACACAGAGTGATTGCTATTTCAAAACAAACCCTGAAGCAAGCTACCGCTGACAGAAAAGTATAATACGTCATGGATAACAACTTCTATACTTTACATCTACCGCTTGTAAAAACATGGCGGAGGCGAGACTAACCTAGGTCACGTGGTCCCATAGGCAAGTGTAACGAAAGATAAACACTACATAACATAAAGGACTATAAAAAGATTTAATATATAAATCAAGTAGCAGAAAATTCACGACACTAATAGAATCTTGTTTTCTGATTGTCCCTCCATCGGTACAGAATATTCGTCAGAGAACGATTTTAGTTTGACCACAGACAACATTCTGTTTCAAAAATGGCCGGTTAGCATGTTCAGATACAATGTTACTGTGCAAAATATTTTGTCATTTTTCAAAGCACAACATGTGGCAAAATATTTAAGACTGCAAATTTGGCATTAAGGTGACGTTAAAACGGTGTGTACATGATAAGTCTCATCTTTTACTAGTGTTGAGTATAATACTGCTTAAAAGGTTTCTATACGATGAAAGGATTTATCTTAATTATGAAAGTGACTTATGTATAATGGTGTATGTATGATGATGAATGGTTACAATCGATGAGAATCCATCCCCAAACACACACATCTTAGAGGTCATGTAACCAGAACACGTAATAGCCATAAAAATACTGACTTTGATCTTCCTAAAGATGTAAATATGCCATTTGTGGCATCATTGCTATCCTCGTGTATCATCCATATTAATCCTTTCATATCTTTTCATACAGCTTTTCATACATACCATATTAAAATAAACATTATTTTGGTTCCTTTATGGTCGTGTTGTCTGTTATCTATTCGCGAACGGTGCCACGATGTTCCGCAAAAAGATGAAATATGGTACTTTTTGTTGCCCTGCCTGGCGCTCAAACTGGCCATCTCGGAGTCAGTACATGTATATTATTATTAGCTGAGGTATCTGTCTTAAACTGCGACACGGCAGTGGGATAATACCAGCAGTTGGGATAATCCGTATATTGACCAGGTTTTAGTTTGAACGTGCAATAACCACACACAAACGTACTATACGTCGCTGTATGAGAGTCGTAAAGGCTACGTTAAAACGCTGTTCACCGAACAGCATCTTGGTCATGACGGAGATATAAACTGCAGCCTTCACACCACATTTTGTGTACCTTGATTACAGCAACAAAATGCAATTTAAAATCACTCAGACTGTTGCAAACCACATTACACACAGGGCCGGATATATTCGTCGCCATCATCGCCATCATCTTGACTTTTCTTCTTGTTAGTGGTAGTATCTCAACACCAATAGTGCAGTCGGGACGGTTACTTCAGCAGACTTGGCGTAATGAAGCTCGATATAGTCGTCTGTTGACCAAACCTTGGGAAGAATACGACACAAGCAAGCTGCGTACATGAAGGATATTTTAGGGTATGTGTTGCCAAAACCTGTCAGGGTCTCTCCGTCTTTGAAAACGTTTGATGTGGTATTGTATTATTAAAACTGAACCTCGCCGACATGGGAACCTATTACTTATAATTTGTATACTTTTTGTTATAGAATTCTACACGGGTTTATATAGCAATGTATTCAAAGAAACGCTCCATAATAGTTATATATG